AAACTAGCTTGTAGTAACATATTTAACTTGATTATTAGTATGTGTTGGACGAATTACATTTCGAACCTAGAGCTCTTCGTCGTATTACGCAATTAATTATTTGTAAATATTTTAATTGGATATACATATTAAGACGGCTTTTATAAATGTCTGAATATAAAACGTGATTACGCAACCTCTTAAAACAGAATATAATTTTCGAAAACAATTACCATGTGGAATAAAAATATTATGAAAGTGGAGGTGGAATAATTAACACGGTACCGTTGCAATTAAGAATAAATTGAACTGTTAGGTTATCTATATTATATAAGTATTTAGACAGAAGAGAGATTTGTATTTTAATAATATCAGATTTCTTTAGTATACGTTTCCGCTGTATATCGTTATTGTACCAAACCAGATAAAATCGTATTATATTCAACTTGAGAATATCTATAAAAATTAAAAACATATTTCAGAGTATAGTTTTTTTTATTATGTGAAAAGTTGCCAAACGAGCAGAATGGACAGCTGCTACACCCTGCTACAGATGCGTTGACAACCTTTTGAAAATTGGGCTCCGGCTACCTCACCCACCAGACGAAACGCGAAAGTATTTGTTATACTTCCACTTCACGCTGGTCTTCTGTGAGATCGTGGTACTTACCCGGACGGGCCTGCCCATTCGTCCAACAGCCGAGGCTGCTGCGTGGTCCTACCACCGTAAAATACTATGTCATAGTGTGTCAACACTTTTATTGCTAATTAAGTTTGATGCTTTTTCTGTGGCAGGTCCATGCAACAGCTTCCGCTGTTGCACGAATGGGCAGGCTCGTCCGGACTGCCACGACCTCACAGAAGACCAACGTGAAGTGGATTTATTATACTTTGGCATTTGGTCTGGTGAGTGATGTAACTGGGGCTCACTTTATAGGTTGCCAATGCCCTCAAGTTTTTAGATGACAATGCACGGCGATTATCACTTAAGTGTTGTACTGGTTCTGTTTTCGTAAATTATATAACATGAACGCTATATTTGTTTCGTGTATCTGCCAAATTATGCAACGGTTTCTCACAATTATACTTACGATAATGGTCGCCGCAATATTTCATCATCGAATTATTCATCTCACTTTGGTCATACTTTTAAAAACCAACATTTTCAATAAAATATAAAATTGGTCGAATTGAGCCATGATAACTCATTGTCCCGGCGCTCGTCTTAAATTCAATGTACTCGAACAACTAGAGTTCGATCCCCGCCGGCACTAGTGAAATTGTAAATTTTAAATGGTGAATTACCACGTGCACAGCAGTAAATCGTGAGGAAACCTGCATATTTTCGAAATAATTAACAAAAAAAATATATCGAAGATATGTGAATTCCGCCAATCAGCAGTGAGGAAGCGTGCTGGACTACGTCCTGATACCCTCTGTACTGAGGAGGCCTTTGCCCAGCCGTGGGACATAATTATATAGGCATGTATACTTTACTTTTTTAAAAAATAGCTTTACACACCGCAAATCATACAATATGCACATTGAAGGAATGACCGAAAAACATATATTTCCTCAGTATATTAGTAAACTCAACACGTAGGACAATGTCGTCGAAACTTAATCATTATTTCCTAATCGAAATTTCAGTGTTAACGATAAACACGATAGTATAACAGACATTAGTATTACATTCGACGAAAATGTCAAATGCATAATGCAAATGTCGTAGCAGAAAGGCACTAGACACATGTTACGACAACGCGTTAAAAATATTACGCGTAAACGTGAACGCTTTATATTTGAACGATTTCTCATAGCTTATGAGACCAATGACGTAGATACCGCTCGTATTTTTTTAATTACATGTTTTAATTATATATAGCGGCCCGCCCCGGCTTCGCACGGGTATTTAACAAAATTTTTAAAACTAAAAATTATCATACACAAAATATTCCGAATATTTCGTCTTTGGTGAATAATTTTATGAATTTCTTCATCTTTTAATGAATTAATACCCTTGAAACGTCATGAAGATGGAAAGACCGCTGACCAGATAATGGTTCCTCTTTAATTACGGGACATTCGGGGTTACACGTAAAAGTGACAAATAAATCTGGTCTCCCATAGCTTCGGACATAAATCATCGCATCTTTGGTTTTTTTTTGTTGACCGATATTTGATGAGCCAATGTCTTGATTTAAAGCGTCTCTAAGATGAATGTTTCACCAGCCCTCAGTCTCTGGTGATTACATTATATGTAATTCAATCGTTTTATGGGAGCCCCACTTATTTATATTTTTTTGTTTTTTAGTATTTGTTGTTATAGCCGCAACAGAAGTACATCGTTTGTGAAAATTTCAACTGCCTAACTATCACGATTCATGAGGTACAACCTGGTGACATATGGACAAAGAACACTTATTGTGGCATAACTATAATAGTTAGACATATGCTGCCGCGACACTTTTTGTAAATAATAATGTGTTCTGCAAAGTTGTAGTACATTATTTTATTCTATCATCAATAGTTTTCGCAGCGCACGCGATGTAAAGAATATTCTAGGTAATTTTTGTTCACCTCGTTTTTAAAAAAAATATATAATATAGCCTATATCAAGCAGGGATAATGTAGTTTCTCAACAGTGAAAAATTGTTTTAAATCGGTTCAGTAGTTTCGGAGCCCATTCAATACATACAAACAATCAAATCTTTCCTCTTTATATAATAGTATCAAGGGCGGATCCAGGGGGAGTGTCATGGGGGTCATGACCCCCCATGGGCTGGGTCCAGGACCTAGGTGGACCACTAAACATAATGTTTTTATATTTTTTTTGCACATATATATAGATTTTATGTTATTTTATGAGCAAAACAGAATTTTGCAAATCCGTCTATATATGACGAAGGTATGCCCGAACATACCCACATAAAAAAATATAAACATCCGAATTGATAACCTCCTTCTTTTTGAAGTCGGTTAAAAATAAGTACCTACTTTTTACTTCTATCTATGATTATAAACATTAAATTATAGCTTCTTATCACTTGACCACGACTACGTGACCCCTCCTGGCACCAAAGCTGGATCCGCCCTTGAATAGTATAGAGCATAGATATACCATCAAATATATAAGATATACCATAGTGTATACACATCAAAAAAGTCTAAAAAACACCATAAAATATTGCGATATTCGCTAAAATAATTTACCAAAGTTATATTTTGAATTTGAATACTATATGCAAACATTCTAATCTGAAAAAGAATTCTGGCTGATTTCAGAAAAAAGGAACGTCATTTGAACGAAAACTAAACTTTCCGGCATGAACGTTTCATGCAACTCACCCCAAAACGTCAACTCAAGATGACCGCCCGAGGGATAGGGCGGTCATCTTGGCGTAGTTGTCTGCCCGAAAACTGTTCCAAAAAGGATTGCTCGAAAATGGCCTTCATGCAGGACGACGAGTTGCGGGGAGCGAGTACAGTGGCCACAAGAGCTTGATGGAATAGCATCCCATTTTATGACGAGTCCCGATTTGAATTAAGACCAAATTAAAAACGTGTGTGGCCAGCTCAATCGCCGGACTTATTAAGTCCATGGAATATGCTCCAGAGGAAGGTTTTAAAATATCTGGAGTAGTAACATTTACAACCACCCAAGAACTGAAGGACCTATTGAAATTTAATGTTGGGAAGATTACCACAGGATGAGGTCAATGACCGCATAGGACCGATGCACCGCCTACGTCGTCAGGTTCTTACTGCGATAGTAATATTTTCTGTTAAAAAAATATTATTCAAACATTTATTCACGAAAATAAACTTTAACCATTTTTTTTTCTCTATAATATTAGTAGGATAACAGTACTTTTTCTTGTCTAATGCATCCTAGTGTATTTTATTTAATAAAAGACAAAAAGTATATATACTTTTTCATTTTATTAATCATAACTTTTATATACTCAATACATATAATATAATACATACTTTAACATACACATTTGACTAATAATCGAAAAAACACCGTTACGTCGAAACATTAGTTGGTGTTAATAATGTTCGACGTGGTATTTCACCAATAAATTTCATAATAGTTGCAAAGACGATCGATTTCATTAACTTTACACCCATTTACGTCAAACTCTTTATCGACGCATTTTTTGCAACATTTTTATTGGACTGAATCCGAGTGTTGCTACAAGTGGGTTGAGAAAAGACACATGTCAAATGTATTATTTATTCTTTCCGTATAGTGAAATTTCGTGCGTGATACAATAATTTTGAATCATAAATAATTTAACACTTCATTAAAAAATATCCAAAAAAGCGTGTTATCAATAATACATTGATGTCATTTCTTATCGAACTAAATGATCTATTTATATAGATGAATAAAGTAATAACATTGTCGCAAAAAAATAAAAATACCGGTACCAGCTTTCTACAGGTGTAAAGAACATGAACAGTTACGAGGAATTAAGTTTCTTTACAACCTACACTTAGGCCGTGCAAAATAAAATAAACTTGTGACCGCTCCCAAACATTTATACAAAGCGAACAGTTGCACAGCAAGTTGTCATTTCTCCGGTCGTTGTCGTAACATAGACACTGCGAGGAATAGTAATGAAATTAGGTGAAAAACGAATTCACATTCCCCACGTGATCCTGCGAGCGCGGTCGGTGAATCCGTCCGGGTAATATAACTTGAACAATTGGATTTTGTCAACATTGGCGAACAATGTAGGCTGTTTAAAATGTTTATCACGGCCAGAGGATCATTGTAAAACGAACCAATTGCTTAAAAGTTGTGAAGCACCGAAAGAGGACTATGCAATAACTTTGTCGCCTCAATGAATGTAAACAATTTGATTTGTTACCCCGTTGCATCACTAAACTACACTAAACAATAATCTTTACATAGTATAAAACAAAGTCGCTCCCGATATTGGTACGCTTAGATCTTATAAACTACGCAACAACTAAATGCCTGAACAAAATTATACCTGTACTAAAGTTTAATTGTTAATTTTGTTAATAATTTCTTTCATCGCAAAAAATAACTGAGGATGTCCTCGCATGAGTCGCCTGAATGCCAATTTGTCCAAGAACAGAACCTGTGAATAAGTGATAATGAGAATCAGAACGAAATGTGACATTATAGAGCGATTAGAAATGGCGGCTGGGGGGCGCGGCTATGGTAACAGGACAGGTTTACGTGGAAACAGTGCGGAAGAAGTGTGCTAGACAAACGTGATCCAGAGGTGAAAAACAGCCAACGAAACCTTCGTGGTGATATTCGACAGCACAGTGCCGTATTTGAGCACTTTTTGCCATCGTGAATATTTTTGAAATTACTTGCTTTGAAATGAACTATGTCATAACATTTTTTTTCGTTTTCATTGACTTTATATTAAACCAATTACCTAGCCCTTAACTGTGAACGACTGTAGCTAATAACTTATCATATTCAAAATAAATTTATCTGCAAAGTTGGCTGCTAATTGATACCGATGTAACATTGCGTAACGTTAATTCCCGACGTTACGTGATCATTGTAATAGTATGAACAAACTGATTTCAAAGAGCCAAAGTAACAGATGACTCGAATAGGGGTTCGAGTGATCTGTGGCTTTTACAAGAAATAGAGAGTAGTTTGAGAAGAGCTTTATCAAACCCAGAAGTGACGTTATATGAATAGCGCTTCTCGAACGTCTTCATCTATGAACAACGTTGTCTCGTTGTTTATACATTAACAAAGCAATCATCATCATCATATCAGCTGTAGGTCGTCCACTGCTGAACATAGGCCTCCCCCACTGACATCCAATTCGACCGGTCGTTAGCGTCCAATGCGTCCATGCGATCTTGGCTAGGTCGTCCGTCCACCTTGTGGGAGGCCTTCCTACGCTGCGCTTGCCGTTGGGGCCAAAAAGGTTCTCCACTCGAGAACCTTTTTGCCCCAACGGCCATCAGTTCTTCAAGCTGTGTGCCCTGCCCACTGCCACTTCAGCCTGCTGACTCGCTCTGCTTGTCGGTAACTCTAGTTTTTCTACGGATCTCCTCATTTCTGATTCGATCTCGTAGAGAAATCCCAAGCATTACCCTTTCCATAGCGCGCTGTGCGACCGCGAGCTTCCTTATGAGGCCCATAGTGAGAGACCACGTCTCGGCACCGTAGGTTATCGCTGGTAGCACGCACTGATTAAAGACTTTCGTCTTTAAGGATTGTGGTATTTTGGACGTAAAGACACTGCGCAATTTCCCGAACGCAGCCCAGCCGAGCTGGATTCGTCGATTGACCTCCTTCTCGAAATTGGATTTGCGTTTTTGGACCGTTTGTCACAGATAGAGATAGCTATCAACAACTTCGAGTGGCGAGCCTCCCAACAATACGAGGATGGGCGTCACATGGACATTTGACATGACTTTGGTCTTTTCCATATTCATTTTCAGGCCCACCCTCTGGGAGCAAAGCAATAAAACTATATAATTTATACCTCACTAGGTAAACACGAAATTATATCTCGACCTCATTTGAACCGAAGCGTGGCAAATACCAGATCATAATCATCATCATCTTCTTCGTTCATCGATAATTATCATCATCCTCTCTTCCAATCCGCGCCACAACTCAATCTGACGCGGTGACAGTTGCCTTTGCCTAGTGCCAGAGAAACCTACAATAAAATCACAACAATAACTACCTTACTCGCAGTTAGCGCTACCACAGAGGGCGTCGCGGAGACCTCCGTGGTAACTAACGATATCTCCCCGAAATAATCGCCATCTATAAGGTAGATGACGTCGTCGTCCGATGCTGGATACACTGCCAACACCCCGACGTCCACAATAATTAATCCGTCGCTTGAAAGAGATGCCTTCGAAAAATATTTAGTCATTAATAAGCCCGTGTGGCAAAAGGGAAAGTGAGAATATAATACTAATGAGAATTCTAAAAATTAAATACTAATTTTACATGACGATGAGATATCAAGGAATCGATAATTATAAGTGCACTGAGGTTGGAAAAGCTTTTTAAAGTCAAAGCGTCTAAAGTAATTGTATCTCCAACTGCTATATGTATATATAAAGTATCAGCCTCTACATGTCCCACTGTTGGGCAAAGGCCTCCTCTGTACAAAGCGTATCAGGGCATAGTCCGCCACGCGGCCCAACTGCGGATTGGTAGACTTCACATATCTTGGAAATATGTATTTTTTAATATTAGTTCGGAAATATATATATATAATGATTTCCTTCACAGATGGTAAATACTTCACATCTGGTGAACAGCCTGCACGTTTAACACCTTCTCTAATAAAAAATTGAACGCAAAAGCTTAAAATTAGGCAAAAGTATTGAGAGGCTTAAAACTACAAATGAAAATTGAATATTCATTACTATTATCTATCATCTAATTACTAAGCCAAAAACAAGGTCTCCATGGACCTCTCAACCAGGCACCGGCTATAACGGCTATTAAAAACTGAGCGAAGAAGTGGTTCTTAATGGACGCTAGAACTTATTATTATATAAATTAAGAACATATTAGATTAGACTACACCATGGGTGATCAACATATAGTCAAAATGGTGTCTTAACTTAGAAACCAATTAAATTATATGACAAGCACTAAGGTTTAAAATGCTCTACATATAAAGCACGCTTTGTAAGCTTTGATCAAAAAAAAATTATAAATATATGAGTCTTTACAAATGAAATTGGCCACATTGATCTCAAATATCTGGCATTTAGCTAGGAATTCCAAATTTATGCCAAATTTTTTTTGTTTCGATATTATATTATTATTATTACTATTTATTTGTTTTCACGATTTTTGATTTTTGTCTGACATCGGTCTGTTCGCAATATGGGGAACTTAAAATTATCGCGTTGTTTACGAAAACAAAGCTGCAGAAACAGTGAAAGAAAACACGGTACGAATAATTAAATGTGATCGTGGAAGCAGATTATGGATTGAAGCACACCGACAAACGCACATTGTTTATGTGTAAAGTTGGCAGAGGAGCAGGCGGTTCACCTGACCATAAATGATACCTTCCAGCCATGGACACTTACAACATACATCAGAGTTGTTGCGGATGCGTCGCCAAATTTTATAAAAGTAGGCCCCGGTTACCTCAGTGACCAGACAAAATGCGAACATATAATACATCCACTTCATGCCGGTGTTCAGTGAGGCCGCGGTCCCCCGGACAAGTCTGCCCATACGTGCTACAGAAAAATTGCTGCGTGGCCCTACTAAAGCAAAAAATTAAGTTTAAATATTGAGCGCTGCGTTACATTTTTCAACTATCATACTAACGAGGGAATTTTGAATCGCATTTCTAATTGTTGACGAAAAATGGATCCTGTACGACAATCGGAAACGCTCATCACGGTGGTTGAACCCTGGTGGCCATCTGCACTGGTCCCCCAAACACTAGTGAGTGTTGGGTGGACCAGTGCCGATATCATACACTACAATTTCTTAAGATCTGGCCGGACGATTTCGGTATTGTCTACAATTGCAAAGGAAAAGCTCGCTGGCAAATTCAAAGACCGAGACTGATCAATTGTTCTAGCACGCTGCTACTTGAAGATAACGCGAGTCCTCACAATTCATAACAGACGTTCGCTAATTTAGAGGATGCGATTGGAATGTCCCCCACGCCCACCATACTCCCCAGACCTTTCTTCAAATTACCAATTTGAACATTTCACCCGTTGCAAATTTTGAATGCAAGAAAAAAAATCCGTTGGGGCAATCCCAATCGCGTTCAAAGATTTTATTTATTCTCGCTCCGACAATTTTTTCGGGAATAGAACCAATGAAGTACTTATAAAATAGAGAAACTGAGATTAGTTAAAAATATAATTTCGTATATTTTTTGCCGTTTTTGTTTTTTATTTTTCCGTATATGCCAATTTGATATGTAAGGACCTAATATTATGTCTATTCCAATAAATCGACGAAACCTTTTGCCACATATTGACCCTTGGCCACATAGACGTGTAAAAATTTTGGTAAAATTTCAGCAGCCCACTACTTTTATATAGCAAACAAAAGAAAAATTTAAACGACAGATAACTATAGAGACATATCACTAACTAAGTAATCAATAAAAAAAATTGATAGTCACCTATAGTATTCGAGAAAAAAACGTAATTAAATCTTGTTATTTTCACTAAGAAAATCCGCCATTTTACTATTGTCAACATTTTCACATTTAAAAACCTTCCGTAAAACACCGTCTTGTCCACACTTAAAACATTCAAATTTCTTTACAAGAATTCATGATAACACAAAAAATTAAAAAGTACTGAACGATTTGATTCTGATTGGAATAAATTTTTATTAAAAAAATAAGACTAATACAATAATGTAGGTATAAATATTTGATTAATATAAAATGAGCGGGAAATACTTTTGGTTATAAATTTGACATACAATTAGGCATCAAAAATAATAATACAGCCAATATGCTAATATCGATTTCAAAACTCGATTACAAATTTTATAAAATGTTTTTGTTAAAAGCCCTTAATGTTAACATTGTGTATTATAAAGTGATTTAAATTTACGTAACTCAAGCTGATGGTTTTATATGTAATTTTTATAAATCTATGATAATAATGAACTAAGTTACATTCCAAATGAGTCACAGATCCGACACAGTGCACCCCGACTCCATGTGGTCTTGTGGTCCCTACCCTTAGAGTGAACATAAAAAGGCGGAGCCAGAACCTCGCGTCGGAGGTCCTGAGTGGCGCAAGCCCGCGAGGCCAAGCAAGCGAAGGGGCGAGGTGGCGAGCGAAGCGAGCCGGCTCACCTTATTGATTTATTTTTTAGGTATTACTATCTATATTTCTCTATCATTAAATTTTTATTTTTCTTTGCTATATACAAGTAGTGGGCTGCTGAAATTTTACCAAAATTTTTTATACTTAATTTACTGTCTAAATTTCCATAAAAATATGAGAAATCAAATAAAATCAAACCTCAACAACAATGTCGTTCGGCATGTACACCTCTTCTACTAGCAATAGAACAATTTGCTCGATTAAATTTTTCGGCCACTCGGCGAAATAAGGTATCCTTGACACGTATTTGGCGAAAGAACTGATAGCAATTTCTTTTATTAAAGATGCGGGGAGAGCATGGTAGCAGCCGTTCTGATTCTCCGTTATAATTATTTTCGTCATGTTAAACTTACAATACTGGAGAACTTTGTGACTGAACTTATCGGACAACTGGCGCCATCGCAGTAAATTGACTATTCTGTAATTATTAATGATGACTTTCTCCTCCGGATATTTCATTCGGCTGAGGCAACCATGACACTCTATGAGGTTCCATATATAAAAAAGATTGGCTAGAACGTAAACACACAGCGAAGTCATTTTGTCCCAATAATGCAATTTCGGCTTCAAACCTAAACTGAATAACAAAAATGATTTGAAGACCCTAGCAACTTCCAAAATCATAAAACAGTTAAGCTTCAATGGTTGAACACTTTCTTCATATCTTATCTTAATAACACCGACAAAGTATGGGCTAGGATCAATCGCACCCGTCTGCATTACAACAAGAAGATAAATTGTATCCGCCATCTTGATGAAAGTTAGCATGGTGACCATACCTAGCACAGCTATCCGAAGGAATTTGAAGAAATACATTGCACGGAAGGAAGTGCGCTCTCGTTTCCAATAACTGGACGCGTCGTACAAACGGTACAGACGCAAAATATGCACGAGTCTTAAGGTGAACATAAATTTGTTGCATTTGCAAATTGCGCAATTAATTTTTTTGCCATATTTAATAAACATGATCGTTTGCAATGGTAACGATGAAATGAAGTGGAGGAATAACTTCGTAGAGCAATAGTGCAAAACAGACTTCTTCAAATCTAAATTTATGGTTCTGTCATCTTTATTGATCCACCCGGTCATCATGTTAATGAACAAATCCGAAATTAAGATAAACTCGCAAACCACTCCAATAAAATAGAAATCCCATGACAGTTCACCATATATGATAGAAGTACAGTGATGGAAGACCAATTTATTGACCAAATCCGTACAGAGTATAAGACACTCCCAAAAATTTCTGTAAAGAAAAAAGAATAAATTTATTTACACCACCTAATTACAGATACTATGTTGCCACCTTCTAACGTAAAAAAACCCGGCCACGTATATGCCGAGTCGGACTCGCGAAGGAATGGTTCCGTACCATCCGTACTAATATTATAAATGCGAAAGTAACTCTGTATGTCTGTCTCGCTTTCACGCCAAAACTACTGCACCGATTTAAATGAAATTTGGTACACAGATAGTCTAGAGAAAGGACATGAGCTATTTTTTTCTTGGAAAAAAGTGTTGTAAATGGTTGAAGATATCTTAAAAAAAATATTTTTTTTAAAAAGATATTTATTTAAGAGATTCACCGCGAGCAAAGTAGCGGGCGAAAAGCTAGTTATCTATGAAAACGGCAAAAAATCAAGTCTATTATATTATAGTTATTAAGGTTCCTGTGTTGTAAGAACGTTTTACAAACCTAATATTCACCTCTCGTTGTAATTGAACCCACCACTCCCGACCCACGACTCCCGACTGCGCCATGGAGTCATCGAACCAAGATATAGCAAGGCCTCACAGCAGATTGGCGTGTAGTGACAACATTATAACATTTGCGTCTTATGGTAGCGGAATAACCGGGCCCACAGTTTTCAAGGTTGGCAGGTATTGTCGGTGGCGGTAATCACTTCTCAGGCGAAGCGCCCATTAGCTTGCCATCTTTTCTCACAGAAAGAGACTTGACAAGCTTACACAACATTTTTAAATTAAATGACTACACAAGTTATTACTTATCAAACAATACTCCCGAACGATATACGAATACGTTGTTGTATTTTTTTGTTGGCAAGAACCTTCACATCGTAGTGAAAATGTATTAATATAATTTAAAAAATATGAAGACAGTCAAAACATGCCTGAATTTGCTAAAAGGGTGGATAACTCCTGTGTGGAAATGATACTGCTTCATTCTTTCCATTCTCATAGCGTTTGAACTTCGATAATAGCATCTAGATCGCTGATCACAGTAAGAGAGAAGAAACAAGTCGCCCCACCAACGTCTTATTCGAGGCCACCATAAGTAATTCTTGTCTTGAGTAATGTCCAAAACGTCTTTTTCGTAATCTATAGAACAAGCGTGATCATAATACGATTCACTGTATGAGTTTATGTTTCGCCAATACATTTAAAAATTCGCGTCTTGTTTTCTAATAAATCGTACTATTTTTGACTGAATCATGTCAAAATGTCTTAAAAAATAGGTTATATACCCTAAGTTTATCTATAAACATCTATCATCTTTTAGTTTTCACAAACGATAATAACAGTATTATCCTGGTATTACCAATAAAAGCGCCAACTAATCACAGCGTAAATATTAAATAAACAGAATGCTTTTATGCAAATTTTGACTCTTTCTCTCCCAATCACACATTAAATCTCCCTATCTAATTAGGTAGGTATTTTTAAGAAATTTTACTTCTATCACGGTATACCTATGCACGTGCTATTCTACATGTTAGGTGTGTACATTTTAAACATAAAAAATTTGAAAATTCATATATTTGGTAATTATTCGGCAAAATTATGGAATATTCGTCTGATAATATAAAATATAAAAAATAAGTTGAATACAGGTAGGTGGCCTTAGTACTAAATATTTTAATTTTCGTAGTGTAAACTTCTACAGATACGTCAATTTTTGGATGGGAAAATTCAGGGGTTCGCGTCAAAGACATGGTAATGTCACATGTTTTGTCATTGACATTGGTAACGTAAAATTTTTGATATCACTTATTTTTCTAATATTTTGATTAATGAAACTTGGTCTTGGGAAATTCAACTACAATGCACCATTTTTTCTGAAAACATACGTATGCATACCAAATGCGTTGCCCCCTTTTCATAAAGTGGGCCCCGTCTACCTCGAAACGCAGAAGTATATACAGCGTGTCGTTACCACCGCGACAATAAATGAACACACATATAGGGGATAACTTTTTAAAATTGTATTAAAAATTTACATTCTTTAAACATCAATATTTACCAAGTTATTAAATTATCCAAAACAAACAATGTTATAACACCCTTAAGTATAAAACTGTGAGGCTGACTGGGATCAACCCAGTCGCAGACACGACTATCGGGATAATTTCGGTCGGCACACCACCCCACATGTCACCTCGTGAGCCGGGTCCAGATACTTCGTCTTCTTATCTGTTTCGGCTTTCACGAGGTTCTCATCATATGGAATGGTAATGTCGACCAAAAATACCCGCGACTATGCCTGGTCCATCAACACGATATCAGGTTTGTTCGCGACAATCGTCCTGTCCGTGATGATGGCCCGGTCCCATTAGAGCCTGGTGCGGTCATTTTCGAGCACGGCCTCCGGAGAGTACTTATAGTACGGCAGTTTCCGTTTCACGAGGCCGTATTTCAGAGCGAGCTCCTGGTATAGGATTCTGGCTACTAGGTTGTGTCTATGCAGATATTCAGAGTTATAAAGCATGGAACAACCGGAGATAACATGCCGAAGCGACTCCCTGGGATGGCGACAAGTTCGACAGATGTCGACGATGCCATCCCTTAGGATGTATTTCCGATAGTTGTTCGTCTTAATAACCTGATCCTGTATCACACAGACAAAACCTTCGGTTTCCCCAAAGAGGTCATCGAAACATAGCCAGTTAAGGGAGGCAATAGTATCTACGAAAGGCTCGTGTAGAGCCTTATAGAACCTCCCGTGGAGCTCTTTCTCCTTCCATACGGCCTCTCGGTCGGAAACACTCAGTACTCAGATAGAGGGGTAAGTCCTTTATCACAACTAATGACGTTCGTGTAGATTGATTCATCCGATCTCGCCAGAAAGTAGTTACGGAGGCTACACACCTCGCGATTGTGCATGGTGAGGGCGCATAAAAAGCCCCTCCCGCCATGCTTCCGCGGCAGGTACAGCCTAATCACAGACGATCTCGGATGATGCATTCTGTGGGACGTCATAGTTGTGCGGACTTTTCGGTCCAGGGCGTTGAGCTCAGTTTGAGTCCACCTGAGTGTGGTACACCAAAGGTATACATGAGGACTGGTATGACCCAGCAGTTAAATGCACGCGCCTTGTTCACGCCAGACAAATGGCTGTTAAACACCTTTGTCAGGCGTGCAAAAAACTTATTATTATTATGGGGGAATATTCATTTGTTTCCTCGTCTGGTTGGGTTTATAAATAAAAATATAGATACATATTGCATATATAAAATAAATATTATGGATAAAAATAAACATACTTATAAAAATATTTTATATAATACATATATAAATAGGACCCAACCAGACGGAAGCCCTCGGCAGGGGAGACCAAACGGCCGAGGGTTAGGGCGATAGGGAGAGAAACCGGCGGACGATGCGGGCGGTATCGAGGAGCACCGCTTTCTGCATTTGAGCTTGGAGCGATCCGTCCCGGAGTCCCAGTCGCCTCAGATGTTTGGAGAGGCTGACTGGGATTAACCCATTCGCAGACACGACTATCGGGATAATTTCGGCCGGCACACCACCCCACATGTCGGTCACCTCGTGAGCCAGGTCCAGATACTTTGTCTTCTTATCTGTTTCGGCTTTCACGAGGTTCTCGTCATATGGAATGGTAATGTCGACCAAAAATACCCGCGACTGTGCCCGGTCCATCACCATGATGTCAGGTTTGTTCGCGACAATCGTCCTGTCCGTGATGATGGGCCGGTCCCAATAGAGCCTGGCGCGGTTATTTTCGAGCACGGCCTCCGGAGAGTATTTATAGTACGGCAGTTTCCGATCCACGAGGCCGTATTTCAGAGCGAGCTCGTGGTGTAGGATTCTGGCTACTAGGTTGTGTCTATGCAGAAACTCAGAGTTAGAAAGCATGGAACAACCGGAAATAACATGCCGAAGCGACTCCCCGGGATGGCGACAAGCTCGACAGATGTCGACGGTGCCATCCTTTAGGATGTATTTCCGATAGTTGTTCGTCTTAATAACCTGATCCTGTATCGCACAGACAAAACCTTCGGTTTCCCCAAAGAGGTCACCGAAACGTAGCCAGTTAAGGGAGGCAACAGTATCTACGAAAGGCTCGTGTAGAGCCTTATAGA